ACTACATTGTATATTTATGTGAAGTCATTAGTCTGCACTGAGGCTCACTGTGCAAAAATGCCGAATACGATCATCAATGGATCTACTATAAGGATGTCATCAATATTAATATCACTGTTTGCTCCAAATCATGCATTGTTTGTACCAATAGGTGTATTTCTCTTGAGCAGGCTTTTTAAATCTTATGAACACTGTAAATAATGTAATGGACAAGGGTTTCCATTTTCTTCTGATGATTCGAAAGCTTAGAGCTAAATTAAAGACGGTTTCAGAAACAGTGTAAATATGATATATATACTTGTAGCATCTGGTTCCACTCTGTTCTCATCCTTCTTGTTCTTCCTCATCTTGTCACTTTCAATTGACCCTATCCTGTCATATAAAGCTGTCCCTCCATGTTACTTCTAGACAGTGCAAGAATGAATTAAGTATAAGAATTTAGAAACACACAGATGGCGAAAAAGGCAGATACCCTTAATGGCAGCTGGTTACTTTCCCTTGCTTCTCCTCATAAAGACTTTATTTAAAACAGTAAATTACAAAGAAATTATTCAATTCAGAGAACTCACATTCAACATAAGCCAATAAGCTAACAACTGGGTCATAACAAGCAAACACCATGCGGACAGGGTCTGATGACCAGAGAACTGGCTGACCTGAATATCTAAGCAGGCTCAGAGTTTTACTGACAGGTCCAGAAATCCCAGGTGTGGGACCATACATGCTGGGTTTAGGATTCGGGTACAGACAACTATTTCAGGGCTTCCCTTTTGGGAAATCTGGCGCCTTATAGCAACAGCCAAACCATTTCGTGGAAAAGAATAAAGGAGAGGAGAAACAGCAAGAAGGTATTATTTTCATTATCATTATGCTCCTTTCACTAAGAAATTCTTAATATCTAAGAAGTTACCTAAGTTACCTAAGAAGTTGCTAAGAAATTATTTTTAAAGATATTGGGACTGAGTAATTAATTCCAGCCACAGCCGAGACTTCCCTATAATCTGCTCTCTTGCTTTAAGTCTTTTTATTCTTTCACAGTTCTCATTAGAGCTAAAGAATAGTAAGTAACTAAGAGAACTAAGGATAAAATGCTTTATTTAATCTTCCATGCCCACATTTTGCAAAAGATAACTACAGCAAAATCTAACTGTGGCCCACCGGCTGAGTAGATGGGTGTGAAAAAGCAGCACTTGGTAGTAATACTCAAACTTCAAAGTGATCCCTGAATTGCACTTAGAAACCACCAAGTGACCAAGTTCCTGTTATGCCTCAAAACTATTAATCACTTTGGACTTCCTGACTTGTGATTTCAGCCTTTCCAGGGAGCAAAGAGTACAGAAGAGGCAGCACATTCCAGAAAAGCAGTATGGTTCAGCAGAGTAGTCAAGAAAATGGGCTGTGGGGCTGGACTGCCTGAGTCCAGCTCCTGGTTCTGCCTCTTGCTCACTGAGTGACCTTGGACAGATGGCCTAATTTCTCCATCTGTAGTTTCCTGATCTGTAAAATGGGTGACAGCAATGCTACTACTTAGGATGGCTGTGAGGATTAAATGAATTACTATAACTTAAAACACTGCCTTTCCCATAGAAGCACTATCTCATTTCCCAGTAATAATTTTTTTTTAATTTAAGTATAGTTGATTTACAATATTGCGTTGGAAATTACTGTTAGTTATCATTATTGTTAACTTTGCAAATGTTATCTTTTTACATTAAAAGAGTTTTTAATTTCTGGGAAAAAAACCCCAAAAAACTGTTCATGGGTCACACTGTTTACAAAGTTAAGTATAAACTCTTCTTCAGGCATCCAAAGCCACACGTTTAACATAAGTTCCCACCTTTAACATAAGGTCTATAAATCAGGAAAAATTATTCCAAACTTGTTTACTTTTTTCTCTTCTTCAAACTCTCTCTCATCTCTTAAAATGTTTATGTCATCTATTTGTTTCATACCAAACCCTCACCTTCCTCACCTGGATTATCTGGAAGCTCAGGAAGAGTGTATTAAGTGAGTTTTCTAGGGAACTTAATCAAACTAAGGCTACAACCCTTTTTCCTACCAGGATCTCTCTAATACGCCTGTTCTTTGCTCTTTTTTCTAATGCTGAATTAAATATCTGGACGGCCACAGACATTTCTAGTCACTTCAGGGCCTCTGGATACAAGATAGACCAGCGTCACTCAGACACTGAAAAAGGACAGACATGAAACATGGTGTCATTTTTCACGTCCTGGAACACAAGTTAATAATATCTGACCAGCATACTGGTGTAAACTAGAAGGGATTTAGAGTTTCTTATGGGTCTTGGTAGAAAAAATATTGTATTTGCTTTACATATTATAAGAAAATAGTAAATTTTTACATGTAATAAAACATATTATACAACCCCTCATATCAACATTTCAACGAGATACTTGAGTAGGCTTAGTTTATAGGAAGAATCACACAAACGGTGCTCCAATATAAATTTAGCTGTGTTAAATTTTTGCATGGCTTGAAAAATGGTTTTATCACTCTAAACATGTAAACTAATTCAATATTCAGAGACACATAATTAATCCATCCCCTGTTGGGAAGCTCGTTCCTAGAAGAACATGAGTCCACGTGAAGAAATGGCTGTTTACATGCTTTCCTCCTCTTACCTTTCTGCCTCCTTCTCTTTCTCCTTCCTTTTTCTTTCTTTCACTATTTCATTCTAACACAGTTTTTCATTGACCTATAATTGATTATCTTTTTGATTCACTGAGCTGCCTCAAGGCCTAAAAATATGCTAAACCACTCACCCTATCAATAAAACACTCCAGTGCTTGGAAAACAAATCAGAACTGGACAGCCCACCAGAGTAGGGGAGGCAGAGCACTGCATCTCAAGGACACGAACTAGAAGAACTGACCTCAACCACTGTATCCATCCTGTTGCAAAAAGGTGTGTGAGAGAGAGAGAGAGTGGGTGGGTGGGGCCATTAAGTGCTAAATGGTCTGTGTTTGGTCTGCTGCTTTACTTCTTTTTCTAAACCTCTAGGCCTTCAGCGTTCCCTAGCAACAGAAGCAAAGGATCAATTTAGAAAAGTGCTTCCCAGAGCCTTCCTATCTAGCTACTGACCAAGCCATTTTAGTTTATGTGATCAAGCAATTGAAATTCAAGGAGATTTAACATTGACTGTCCTCAGCAGCAAAACTGGAAGAGTACCGCTTGATATGTATGCTACTAAGGTCTAAGATGACTGATTTTACCTCTACTGCACAAGCATGAATTGGTTTCAGGAAGAATTAGTAGTCTCTGCATCTCACCGTGAACCAACAGTGTTGCCAGGGAAACTGATAATTACGTGGCAAAATGGAGAGTGTAGAATAGAAGAAAAAGAGTTCAGAAGAAATGTAAGGTTTTGATCCAAATCAGCATGTTTATAGTATAGTTTGTTGGTCTTCTGTAGTCATTATAATTTAATAAATACCATTAATTAGATGTTTGACAAGATACAGATTTCTGAACTAAAAGAAATGAATCAGACTCTGGCAAGCTCCTGGTTACTGATCATATTTTGTGTACGGCACAGCAGGAACACATATGTATTACAAACTACAATGCATTTGAAGAATTAAAATATTCAGAAAGGTAGAAAAAAACACATTGACTTGATTTCTGACTTTCTTTTAAGAAAATAATCTTACAGAGTTTCAGATATAAAAACTGTAATTCCATAAAAGCTCTAATAAAATTGCTTTTTTCCACTTCAGAGACTGAGTCAGCTTCCAAACACACTTTAGGGTGGAGAAGAAAGAAGTGTTGCTGTTTTTATACTATACACAGTGAGAAACCAACCCAGAGAAGCTGAATGACCTTCCTGAAGGCACACACCCCTTCACTTAGTAGTAACACTGGTGCTGAAGACTCTATTTAGGCTGCCCGAGAGGTATTATTTACAGATTATATCATAGTAAAGGAGAATCCAGCAAAAGGGTATAAATTTAGTGAACAGATTCAAATCTCTAAATACCACTTTAACTTAAAATGAAAATTTCCAGTATCTTTTTCATTTTGAATAGCTAGGAGTTTAGTCCTGAAAGTTAATAATACGATATAAACACTTGTTTATCAGGAAAATCTCACTGGAGACATTTTAATATGTGCGAATGAGCATCAAAGGATTAACCAGCTCATTAGCGAACAGTTTCACTACATGTCAAATCACTGCCTGTGAGGTGTCGGTCCTTTTACGACAATGCTGCTGGACAACATTCTTTTATTTTACTTTTTCTAAGGACTACTAGGTAGACATTTTAAGAGATGAAATAGAAAGTTTTATATTCTCCTGTGTATTTATCTTTACAAATTCTTATATATTTTCTAATTTATAAATATACATATTAAAACATTCATTCACATTCTTATACACACAGTCTTTGTATGGATGTGTTGGAGAAGAAAATAAGTGATTTATTTATAACTGGTGTATGAAAAAAGATAACCATTTACAATTGAAAATGTTCCCAGTGTTTTGGTCTGATCTGATCTTTGACAGGAAAGAATGAGAAGCGTATACAGGACATCAAGGTAAAAGCAGAAAACTAACTAAGCTTCTTGATGCGGTGAATTCCAACTGCTAGAAGTACGCAGTCAGCCTTCTGATGTTATGAAAAAGCTCTTCATTCTAGTAATTTAAAAATGTTAAGCCTCACTCATTAGTACATAGGTAGCGTGTCCCACCTTAGATGGGATGAGCTATCAGGGCAAGGCAGTTTATTAAGCCTATCAATATTATGATGGTTTAAAAATGACTGGCTTGTCTGAGCTGGAATTTTGTTATGTCTTTACATCAATGATTTATTTTTGATAAGACAAGAGTGAAATGATAGGTTTATATTTTGATAAGCCCTTTCTTCTTGCCCAGGGCAGGAAGGCTTTTTCAACTTTTAAATCTCTGGGTTAAGAAAAAGAAAAAATGTAAGGCCACATTTCACAGTCATTAAAAACAACGTTTATAGTTAGGTTAAACAAACCTTGACTCAGGCCATCATGACAAGACGTCTGCTTAACATCCATGTTCTCCATGGCATCTCCTTTAGAGACTTCACCAAGAGATGTTCTTCTCTCAAAGATGTTGTTGTTGTTGTTCACTTGAGTCCCATTTTGCTTTAGTAGCCTGAACACCTCAGCTTCCAAATCTCTAATCTAAGAGAGAAGAAAATACCCACTCATAAAATTCCTAAAACTCCTAAACCAGCACTCCTCTTCAAGTATTAGGCAAAATGACCCTATTTTTTTTTAGCGGTTTTGAGCACGAAACTCACCCGTACTTGCAGGCCTTGAACTTCCACAAGATGAGCTTTTTCTAAATCTTCTATTTTCTTTCTTTCTGCTTCCTGTCTTTTGATGAAATCAAGTTCTCTTAAGAAAAAAATAATAGATCTCATTGAATCAAACATTCAATAAATGAGGAAACGTGTAAAAATTCTTATCTGATGAAATAAACTGCACAGTGAAATAAATATCTAGACAGCCATTTAAATAAATAAAACTCAATCACAGTTAGAGAAAAGGTATCTAGTAATGAAAGCAAATAAAACATTTTAGTGGATCCCAAAGTAAAGAAAAATGCTTTGATTCTGCTATGATTTTTATTTGTTGCTCCTGATTCTAGAGCATCCATTCATATTTAGACAGAAGCAACAAACTAATGACCCACATTGGGTAATTTCGTGGAGACAGTCACAAGTCGAGTAGATATAATTCCACATTTGCAAAATCTTATACCTAGTAAACTGATGGAACTGGATGGTAAGAGTTTAAAAAAGATAAAGTAAGATTGTTTACTATGAATGACAGTAGAGGCAGACTGGGTGGGTAAGAAACACTGAGGGGGAGCTGTCTTTTACACACCCGAGGGTAATATGGGGAGAAGAAGAAATACCTCTATTATGAGAGTCTGGAATGCAATATGAAAATTTGGCAGAATTTATTATATTTATTATGAATACTATTACATGAAACAGAATTAGGTATAATATTTTTGGCAAGAAGAGTTAAAATAGTGAGGTACTGAATTCATGGCCATAGAGCAATTTCCCCTTTTTAAATAAACTTTTTATAACAATCTCTTTTAAATATTAAAAACATTATTCCCGTTACAGGAAATAACAGATGTAGTGAATGCTTAGATTCTAAGGCTTGACATGAAGACCTGAAGAGATACTGGTGCTCCTTCCTATTGTTCTGGCTGGCCAAGAAGTGACTGATTTAAAAATCCAGTAGAGTCTCCCTGGCAGTCTCCCTGAAATTACACCAAGATCCAACAGATGGAAGCAAAGCAGCGTTAGCTCAGAAAGAGCTGCTGAAACGTAAAAGCAGAGTGTGGTGATGGTCTCTCTTACTGCACTGTGAACTTTGTGATTCTCTCAACACTGAGAAAAGGAAAGTGGCAGGGCAGGGGGTCTTGCGAGTCAATTTTTACACTATCTGTAATGGGAAAACTCTGAAGCTACTGATTCTAAGAACAGAGACAGAAGCAGCCTCATCAAGGCCCCAGCTGCTGTGCTGCATGTACTATGTCCAGTCCTCATTCTGCGTAACTTCAGCTGGGCTTCTTGCTTCTAAATTATAGAGATGTTTCAAAAAGGATAGTGGTTTAAATGTTTTAACGGTAACTATCAATGAATAACTAACAATAACAACGTAACAACAACAAAAAACAGGAGGTAACTAATTGCCAAAAATTATAAACAATATATAATCTCATATGAAAAAATGATGGATGAGATTTCTAAAACATACCTATTTATGCTTTAACTACGCTTCTTAGAGGGATAACTCTGAGGTCATCTTCTTTGCCACTAGATGTTACAAAATTACTGGATACAAACCTTTAGATGCACTCAACTATTCTTTATCTATTAGAAACTGCTTACTTTTGTTGAAAATCCTTGATCAGTTTCTTTGCCTTGTTGTATTTCTTTTCCAAGGCCTGATACTGGCTTTGAGTCTCTTTGAGATGCTCGTTCACCGTGTGGCATAATGTTTGAGCCTCAATCCAGTAGCTCTCCAACTTCAACATTCTTTCTTTATTCTCTTCTATATTCTGCTGGAGTTGGGTTTTTTCTAGTTCCCACCTCACTTTCTCATTTTCTGCTGCTTGTAGCTGGACAAAGCAAATGTCAAAGCAAGGATAATCTGGATACTTCTATAGCAAAAAATCTCTGCTATTTTTATAGGACATTTTAGATTAAATTCCATTGTTACATGTACTCAATCATCAAACACCCTGAGATGAGAAAAGCAAGTATTACTTTTGTCATTACATAGATTATTAATGGAAGCCTTGAAAAGTGAAATGGTTTGTTCTGAGTTTCTAGAGCCTGATACACCCCAATTTGCATATAAGTATAAAAGATGGTGTAAGTAAAAATATTCCTTATTGTTGAATTAATTGAAATCTCTCCAATGAACAGAAAGGCAGCTTCTTGTGGTTTCTGCTCCCAGGGAAGCTTAGGAACAGATAGCTTACTAGTCCAACCCCCTCATTTCTATAGAAAGTCAAAGCTGATCTTTTAGGTGAGGGGTCAAAGGTCATTTATTCACAATAACTGTCTGACCTTTAAACTAGTGCTTCATCTACTTTGCATGCCACCTTTAAAGTTCAAAACGATGCACAGTCATTATAAACTACCAATGTTCAAAATCTAAAGTATTCCAAAAGCATACAGCATTCAGCAAATGGAAATACAAGTTTTTATGCATGGTTTGCATAAATACATTGATAAGACAGATTACAAAGTAAAAAGTACTCAAAAACATTTCAAAATTAAGGATTCTATTATCAACATGGATATAAAAAGTCATATTAAACTAATCTATGGATATTATCTATCAATATAATATTGAGAAAAATACAAAGTACTGATTTATAGGATTTTCTAAATTAACTGTCTAACACATAAGCTTTGTTAAGCACTTACAATCACAGAGGAATTTTTTTCCATGATTGTAACCAACAATTAAAAAAAAAATCTTCTATTCTTCCACTCTATGCCAAGAAACAATAGCAATTTAAAACAGGACTGGGTTTTTACTGCATCTTTTAATGTTTTGTGTTCAAGTTGTTTATTTACCAACCACTACTAATTTAAAAATTATTATTCACAGAGCTTGGCTGACACCATGAATGATATACAGACATGTTTTGACTAAAGAGCTACAGAGTGATTAGCCGAAAATACCTTTTAACCAAAATAGCCTTGCTAATTCATCTCCATTTAAAACACATGGAAAAACCAAAACAAGTATACAGTGTGATCAGGAAAACAGATTGTTAGTGGTGGGAGAGGAATTATGTCTCAATTTTTAGGAGACTATGAAAAAAGATACTGTTTTAAAAGTAATTCAAAATATATTTTAAAATCTTTGAAATTACATGTTTGATAAAACCAGACACAATTCAAGAAATTTACAAGTATCCTATAGTTTACCAATTAAAAATGCCCTTTTGAATTTTGTACTATTTCATATGTAAACTAAAAATACATACCCCCTTTTATCAACACCTGTGTTTTCCCACAAATTTAAATAATGTGAATTAAATTTGTCTATAGATTTCTGGTCGCATCTGGTACCTAAAATAAATTATTCATATGTTATATTAAATTTCATAATATTTAATTATTAGAAATTGGAAATTTTCTCCATGAAAAGTAATTAATGTGCTATGTTAAAATACACTGTTTCTAATGAGTAGTCTAAAAATAAATAAATGATTTAACTTATTTAAAATAAGATAAATCAAGAGAAAGATAAACTATAATAGCTTGTGCTTAAGGAATTAGTCGATAAAATGTAATTCGGATGCCATTAAACACGTTTACTTTTTGAGGAAGGCTCAGAGGAAACTGGCCACATATGTGCAAATATGTAAATCTGTAATTGTAAGATATTGTGCTATTTTTACTGAGAGGTATGGTGGTGCAGACCCCCTCGAGGTATGCACTGGGAGGTTTTTCCAGTAACAGTGGAAATGAATCTCTCACATTTGTATTCTTTCCAGTGCACATAAATAAATCCTTTAGTCCTAGAGTTGAATTTATTTTAAGTTTAAAAAGTACAATTCAAACACCAGGTACTGGTGCTTACCTTGGTCTTCAATTTTTGAATCTCTGCTTCTGTAACCGCATGTTTGATTTGCAACTGAAAATGAAAAAGAAAGAAAAATCTGAACTAAGTGTATCTATATTTTTAAAGCCTAAGCAGCTAACAGGATGCCTTATTACACAGCTGAAAGCCTAGAAAAGTGCTGCAATGCAGCAGGTTGTAAATTAAAATGTCTAGTGTGTAAAACGACTCCTAGGTGCGAACTAATTAAACACAGGGTTTATGGCCCACACTCCCTAACATCAGATTAGGTTACGAATTTAATTGCTAAGGGACCAAAGAGAAGGAAATACATTTTCTTCCCTTTTTGCAGCTCTTCCTTTATGATTTGAGTGTCAAGAATTGTTTCCTTGCAGTCTTGTGGATTCAACAGCTTCAGCAGGCAACTCAGCCTGTGGCTGTGGGAAGCTTCGATTCTGAATCTGGAAGAAAGGTGGCGCTCTGGTTCTGTGAGTTGCAGGCATCTTAGGCTGAGCAGCTCTTTCACAGCTCAGCCTGCTACAAAGCTGGAGATAAGGATGATGCGGTTCCACGGTGAAATCTGTAATTTTTTTTAATTGCAGGAAAAGTACAGATCTAGATTTTTGTCCTTTAAAAGATCTACTCCTATTGAGGACCTGGACTGGACCCCCAAAAGTTTCCACTACAGTTTACTAGCCTGAAGCCACCATTTACATTTGTTTGTTTTGCTTCTCCCCTCCCCCGACTTTGTTTTCTCCACAAGGGAAGAGAATGAAGGGAACATTCATTCCTTAAGGGATAAATAAGTACAGCAAAATTCACGGAAAGCAATGTATGGGCTGACAGTCACTATTCTAAAATCCTTAGGGCCAGATGTTTTTGGAATTCAGAGTTCTTCCAATTTCAGAAACGTAGTAAGATGCATTCTTCCCTAAATTGCTTATTGCCCACAGCTGGGTTTGTGGAGGCACTCTGTAATCAAACACATGAATATTTCTGCCACCAAACATGTGACTATTCTCACTAAGAGAGGTGCATAAAGACTTTGGTCAGGTTTACCACCAAATGAGTTTGCCCCAAAATTATTTTAAAACAACTGTTTTCAGAGCATTTTGGACTTAGGATTGTAAGAGGGACTGTAAACGTCCTATATTACTGTAATCAAATAAGTCTAACTTTTTCTTATTGGAAAGACGGCTGATGGGAAGATAGAACTTTTGGAGATCACACCACCCCGAAAACCTCAGCTCGCTCTCTCTGGTTTGTAATCTCCATTTCCTTGGTTTTCACTTGGCCAGCAGGGGCAAATGGGAAAGACAAAGAGGGGAAGAAATTAGGAACAAGGACAGGTTCTTTCAACACCCTTAGATGCTGGTGGATAAAAGCCCAGAAACTGAGAGCCCCTTGGTCCTCACAAAATGCCCCCTCGGTGATGCTGCAGCTCTCCTGTGAAGTTCAGGGCTCTGCAGACTACACTGCTACACTCCTGCGGGGTGAGCTTGGAACTCTCAGATTTGCCCTTTATCTTGCTCTCCTGCTTCGGTCCTGGTCACTCCCGCAGCCCTGCATGATGTGCGGCTCTTGCTCCCTTCACCGTCACTGTTCTAGAGCCTCCTGTGCTCTCGTGGTCTCTAGAGAGGAGGCACTCCTTGTGCAGCTGTCATTCTTCTGTGAGGCCACACAGGCAGTCCTGGCCCCCTCCGTCTCTCACCACAGCCACAGTGGTACAATGTGCAACTTACCTGCCCTAAGAAGAGCACCCATGCCCCTGGCCAGCGCCACTCCAAGTTCATGGCATCTCCCTTCCGCCTCACTGCTGAGGCCTGTGCTCACCCAGAGCCCTGGTCTGGATGAATTTCTCGGGGCCTGACACTGCCAAGCAACCTAGGCTGACAGACTGGAATGTCCAACTGTGGCACTGTGGACTCTTCAACTCTGGGCCCTACAGTGAACACACTATTGCAGAATCACAGATCCATACACTGCTAGACTCACTTCAGACATGGAAATCCAGGGCTCATAGATAAAATTTCCCTTGGAAAATGAGGATTAATTAAAAAGACATTTATTGAGAGCTGTCACGTACCAGATGCTATGAAGATAACTCTCCTTCTAGTAAACAGTAGTGCTAATCTCCCTACCAATATAAACAAACCAAAAATGGTAAAAGCATTTAGATGTTAGACATGATACATTACATACAGATATGATATAGATGCACACACATATGGCTATGAAGAATTATTTTCCATGGAGATCTTGCACACACTCAGGCATCCAGCAAATCCACATGCCTAGATGATTTTGGAGTATCTGTAATCGTTACTGACACGACTGACTCCTTGTTCTTTCTACCATGTGCCAAGTGTGCAGAGTAGTTAAGTTAGATGGCTGGAATTCATCTCAGGCCTATCATGTACTAGCTATTTGAGTTTGCGAAATTACTTAACTTCTTTTACCTTCACTTTCCTCACCTGTAAATATAGTTACTCTTAGTCATAATCTCCTTACTGGAAAATTAAATGAGATAAGCCATGTAAAAGCTTTTAGCACAGTGGCTAACATAGAGTAAGTCCTCTGTAAAGTTAGCCAAGACTAAGAAAGACTGATCTGAAGAACTCAGGTATGACTGCCCTAATTCCACTTCTCAGCTAAAAGTGCTGAATGCTATAAAATGTCACACCTGAAATAAAATGAACACCTCTGGTTCTATTTGAAGAGTAGCAAGAAATCAAAAGGGCAGATTTTATGATGAATACTGCAGCCAGGAGGAAGTGCCAGATTTTATTTTCTCAGTGGTTACCTCCCTGTAGGGTAACCAAGTAAACTGCAGTGCAACTTGCTGGGACTTTGGATTTTCTTTGCTCAGATCACTGTGCTCTGTAGCAAGTTACTTCTCTGGGCCCCAGTTTCCCACATGAAAAATGAGAGGGCTAGGTGGGAAGAGCTGCAAGGCCCTGCAAGTACTACAGGTGTGACATTCATGAAATGAGGAGCCCAGAGACGGTTGTCATGGTTGCAGAGTCTAGAAATTCTTGTCCCAAGCCAGCATTTTCATTCCTACGAACACACATACTAGATTTATCCACTGATATGCGGGACAAACGTAAGCAAAACTGTGAAGCAGTCAATTTGATGTTCAGTTATCCCACCCCTCCCACCTCACCAAAAGAGACAATAGAAGAGAGCTGACCTCATAAGCAGCGAGGTGAGAACACTGATAAAAGGTTGGAATGTTACTAAGTACAGCCAAATTCTTTAGACACAGGAAAACAGAATAAAGTCTGTAAATTCAGACATGACTCAGAAGATGGACAAACGTTTTAGTGCAAGATTTTCCTTAGTACTCAGAAGACCTAAATTTACAGGTTCTTGATTATTTCAACCTTGCACGCACATTAAGAGAATGTCTACAATCCATTATTATTAACAGGAAAAGTACCGAAAATAAACCAACTGAAGCCTTTTACTTTATATAGGAAGAAACGGTATTTCAGTAGCTTAAGATGTACAGCTAATAAGTGCCAAAGCCAGGTTTTACAAATTTCAGTCCACAGTCCTTTCCACTAATACTAAATTTCTTACATTTGTAGGACCTTTTATCTTTTTTACCATCTCCTTCCTCATTGCAAATGAATCTGTGAGGGAGGCTGGACAGGCACTGTGTACCTCACTGTTCAAATAGGGAAAGAGACTCAGAGAAGTTACATGGCTTCTTCAAGTCCCCAGCAGAAGCAGGTGGGTGGAGTGGAAATTATCCCAGTTCTGACTCTACATGCCTCTGTTCCTCCCTTCACCATGCACCTAATCTGAACCAGCTTTGAGATACCTTTTTCATTTAATCATCACAAAAACCCTGAGGCATATGTCATCAATGTCACCTCCCAGAGGAGAAAACACTACTCTGCCTGGAAACCATGGATCACTTCTGGTAGTCTGAGTATTCTGCCACTACGTACAAAAGAGCGCTCAATCAGCCTCTGTTGTCACTCATGGAACTCAGGAAGAGGTCTCTCTCTCATTACTCACCAGCATTTACTGAATGAGACTATGTGCCAGGTGCCGTGCTAGTTGCTGAGGACACAGAACATGACATGGGATCTACCTTTAAAACACTTAGTACAGGGAGGCTAACATGACCTCCTGAGAGAAGGTCTCAGATCCCTGAGAGAAACCCGGAAGAAACGTCAGAGGACTTGGGGCTTTGGTCTACGTATTGTCTCTCTAACCGCGGCCCCTACCTCCCAGGTGAAGTGGGCGCAATGACTTCCACGTCACGAGGAAGAGGAAACTGCTTTTCAAAGAGATGAAGTGACTTGACAAAAGAAGTAGAGTCTGTAGAAAGTTGAGTGTTCTTATTCTAGGGCAGTTCTCCTTCCAAAGTACATATAGGTCCAGGGGTTCGCACATAACCCCCGAGACTGGTCAGGCTGACTGCAGGGAGCGGGGGTCTACAGGACTGGCCAACAGAAACAGCCTGAGAGACCTGCTGGAACTTTGGGGCTTCTGAGAATCTATGTTTGGACAAAAGACTTGGGAAGGGAGGATATAAATGAAAAGAAAAAGTTAAGGATTGTAGGTCAGTGTCTTTCAATTTATAAGACCAATCCCTTTCATCTCTTCTGTCATCTTTAACATGAATGCCATCGATATCCACCCCAGGGTCACAGCACAAATAAACACACACACTCCTATGGGGAACAGGAGCTCGCCTGTAACATTCTGCAGGTGTACTTGCTGTGCTTATTTTCTGTTTATTTCTTTCAAAAAGATGAATACAGAACAAGTACTTATATTGCTGAATCAATATAATCCAAATATAACTGCATCAGAAATAGAAACATCCTTATGCATAAACATTGTAAGTCTGAACTTCTGCACTCTCTTTATTTATCTTGTACAAATATGGAAAACATTTTCTTTAAAAAGGGAGATGGTTATCTTTGCAGGAAAGATTTTAAGAGTGCTCTAGTACTAGATATTTTACAATCAGTTAAGACTCTGTTCTCCGTTCTTCCTTTACAA